TATATATATATATATATATATATATATATATATATATATATATACATTGATGCATGTTCTCACTTTCCAAACCTTTGTGCTTCTTAAATGGGCCACCCCCATTCTTTTATATACATATGTAGGATGAGGGCATATATAATGGCAATTATTTGTTTTTTTTTTACTGCAATGGGTGAACCTTCATGAATTGCCTAAAATCATTACAGGTGAACCTTCATGACTACAAAAACTATGCTAATACAACAATGTAAGTACTCACGTATCTGTGTGTTCACATATACTTTCACATGTCGTATAAGTACGTCCTCCACGGGACATATCGACACTTTGACACCCGTGTTACTACGCTCGATCTAACTCGCAACATCAGTGTTTTCATATTTTCGGACTTCGTAGCACGAACTCCGAAAGTAGATGAAAGTAGGGGAGGGTTAATTAAGAGAGAAAGAAGGAGAAGTAGGAGCATGTGACTTTCTAAATTTGAAAGAGAAGCTAGCCGAGAAAAGGCTAAGAAAATGAGCATGAAATAACACATCATCACTAGCCATAGCTTTGATGCAAAAAAGGGTATGTGTGAGAAGATATTATTCACATATGAATCAAACAGCTTCCAAATTTGTAAGAGACACGATGATCTCATCACTGCCCAAGTCAAATAGTAACAAGATAATAATACTCTTTCAGTTCCATAATAAATTAATAGTAACAAGATAATAATATTTTTTAAAAATATATATAATTATTACAGTTTTAGTTAACCGAGGTTATTTGTTTACTTCTTAATAATTTTATTAAGAGACAACCTCTGAACCGTTAAAAGGTGAATCTTGTTTGATTAAAAAAAAAGTTTGGCTCTTAATGGTTCTAAAACTCTCTGAATGATTTTGTATCATGGGTCTCCCTTAACTATTAAGAGCCTTAATTTCATTGTAAACAATTATATTTCATTTTGCATTATATCATGAGAGGCTCTTAATTATTCTGGTCACTTAATCATTCTGCACCAAATCATTCAACAACTGTCAAACAACCCCTAAATGACAGTTTTACTCTTAATAAGAAACATATAAACTTTTCCAATCTCATAATTAAGATAATTAAGGGTAGAATGGAAAGTAGATATATTTGTTTTGACAACATGACATTCATTTTTTTTTGTTAACCGTGAGTGTCCAAACCAGCTTGTGCACATCTTGGCTGATCTCCTGGAGAACAGTTAGGAGAATCTCCAATTGATCCTTATTTTGACACAAATTAAAATATAAATGTGAACAGTTATTACGGGAACATTCCGAAAGAAGTATCTACATTTCTATTTTAATTTGTTACAAAATAAGTATCAACCGTTAAAAGTAAGTGCGTACTTTTCATTTCTAAGCCAAATTATGACATGGACAAATTCATTACAATAACATAATTATTTAATTAAGTAAAGAGTGTAATAATTATATAATTTTAAAACTCGGTCTTTTTCATTATCAACAATTATTTTAAGATGACCAAAGGGCTTTTGGCCTAGCGGTATCATAGGAGTTCAGGACTTCAAACCTCACCAAATGTGAGGAGGGCGTGTGAGTTTATTTGTTGCATTTGCCGTATATAAATATTATATATTTCAAAAAAAATATTTTTAGATGAATTGAATAATTATAAAATGTTCTGTCCCAAAATAAACGTACACAATGAAAAAGGCACATTGTTTATGAAAATCCAATTGTTACACTTTTTAATTAACAAAAATACATTTTTACCCTTAATTATAGACAAAAAATTTCTCAACCACATAATTAAAGGTAAAATGTGAAAGTAGACATTTAATTTTGAAAGTTGACACTTATTTATTGGAACAAATTAAAATAATAACGTAGACACTTATTTTGAGACAGAGGAAGAGTGAAAATACCCAAAATTGTTCTATAAACTTAGGGAGTTACTATTCATACCCCTCTCATTTACACTTAGGACCGTTACTAAACCTTCACTTGGTAAGTACTTACCGGATAAATTTTCTCATCGGATGAACATGACAATGTCCAAGAATCTTTTTTTTGTAAGGGTGTCCGGGCCAAAGCCCGACTAATCCCCGGCAAATTTGGAGGCTAAACATGGCCCCACTTAAATGTCGCCAACACTCCCCTCCTAGGGTTCGAACTCGGGTTCATGACTATGCCATGCCCAAGCCTTTACCACAATGGCCAAGAATCTTACCGGGTAAGAGCGATGAGAAGAATGAAGAGTCTTACCCAGTAAGTGAAGATGACGACTCTTACTCAAGTAAGCGCTTATCCAGTGAATTATTGCATTTGATACGTTTCGATGCACTAAAATCTTGCAAATCAAAATAAGTACTTACCAAATAAGCATTTACGAGGTAAACATTTGGATAAACAGTCTCTTAAGAGAAGGGTATGAAAAGAGTTCACCTAAAGTTATTACAACATTTTTAGATATGGCGTTTTAATATCAGTACTATAAAGCAGTTTATTAAGACATTCAGACATTTTGCAGTTATAAACTCGATTTCGTTACATGGGTGTTTTTCATATGGTCTCCAGACTTGCTATTCAGCATGATCCAATGATAGAAAGTCCTCTTTTCTACTCAAGATTGAAGGGGGAGAAGCTTTTCTTTAACTTACCACATGCATCATCACCTTTCTTTTGTTCATTTCCATGCTTCTTTTTCATGGGATCTTCATAGTTTTCCCAATTAAGTTGCATAAATCACTCTCCCACATGAAACCCAATCTTCTCTACTAACGTAAAGCACGTATGCATGAATTATACGTCACAAAATCAGTCAAAAACTTTCTGAACGATACCACTTGACACTATAACAAAATTGGTTTTATAGGACGCCCCCCAATCTCTAAGCGTCCCAATAGACCGCTTTATAGGACTTAATTTATAGTATCAAAATATAAAGTGTTCTATCTAAAAGCGTTGTAATAAGTTTATATGACGCTTTTGGACGTCATAACAAGTTTTTTAGAACATTTTTAATACAAAGGGTCGCATTAGCAACTTTATAGGACACTTGTTTTTACATGACAGTTTTTCAAATAATGTCCTGTAAGGTTGCTAATGGAACGGGTTAAAAGAACTTATTACGACGTCCAAAAAGGTCATATAAACTTATTACAACACCTTTAGATAGGACACTTTGTTTTTTGGTCCTATAAACTAAGTCCTATAAAGAGGTCTATTAGGACGCTTGGAAATTGAGAGTGTCCTATAAACCCAATTTTGTTGTAGTGTGATCTAGCCCGTGCCTCCTAAACTGTATTTCTACTGCAGACAAACAGTCTATACTACAACAAAATTGATTTCATAGGAAGCGTTATATTAAGAAGCGTTCTAAGAAATACTTTATAGGACATGAGTTTATAGGACCAAACCAAAAACAGTGTTCCAAACCAAAAAATGTCTTATAAACACAAGTGTTCTATGAACAAAGATGGGTTTATTGGACACATCGTATAACATAATAACATGACAGTGGACACTTTATTTTAATAGTGTCCTAAAAACTTGTTAAAACGCTTAAAAACGTCCTATAAACTTACTGTAACACTTTTAGATATGACACTCTATAGTTGGATCCTGTAAACCTAAGTTCTATAAAATATTATATTAGGACACTTAGACAATGTCCTGTAAAACCAATTTATGTTGTGGTATTAACTTCTGATGTACCTTCATATAGAAGAGTGAGTCAATGTGTTCCACATATCTCTTACAGTTGTAAGGTTGATGATGGAGTGATATGCATCATCTGGTAAAGACATTAGCCTTGGTATCAATTGCAGCTTGTTTCCTATCATCATCCATCCGTAGATCTGAGAACTGTTTCCTCCTGTGACATCGTTTTCTTTACAAGATACGATAATTAAGTGAAACCAATAATCATTTCATAAGCGTAACTTCGACTCAGAACCATAGATACGATCGTATGTAAGCATATATGTAAGCAAATGTAGTCTTCATTTAGTTCAAAATTTGACATAAAACAAGCTAAAAACTACACTAACAGTTTCACTTCTGTACCTTTGAAGTTCTTTAAAGATCAGATGGAAATTGAGACCATATCTCAACAAATCAGATCATCCCCACTTCTATATCTATGTATAAAAACAGAAATCCAAAAGATCCACATCCCAACTGACTTTCCTCTAAGCTTGTTTTGGAGCTAAAGGATTATGGATGGTCTCTTATCCAAATCAAGAAACACAACAAGCTGTTGAAGAACTGTGAGAGCATTAAAGTATCACCAAATTCAGAGTCTTGTTAAAGAATTCTACTTTTCTTTCAATCCTTTTCGGCTTTTAACTTCATCATATCTATCGATGAAAATGGGTGGATACAAGTCCTTACCCGTTTCAGATGAATAAAGATCCGAATCAGCACTCTTTCTTGCTGTTACTGTTGCCCCGTTTGAAAGTCCGCCTTTTGATTTGTGACCATGAGTTGAGTAATTGTACCCTTGCCGTTTAGCTTTAATGGACTCCGTGAGACTCATGTAGCTCGGTTTGCTAACACTTCGTTCTTTACTTGACACCCGTGTTTCGGAAGTTGCGGATGAAGAATTGGTTGAGGATGTGCTTTCGTTAAACACGGAACCAGAAGATGGGTTTGTTGAGGATGATTGTGTGATTGGACTTGAGATAAACGGCTTTGCAGAAACCCTGGTTGAAACTAGATTCCTTCGAATCTTTAAAGAATCACGTTCACTGGAATAAGAGCAAGATTTAACACTACGATCATCAGAATTCTTTATTTCAGATGCAACATTATTATGGGAATTGTTGTCCCAAGATTTGCTAGCCATCCAACCATTCAGCCAGCTCCATTCGTTGTTTTGCTTGACTGATCTAGGAGAAGCAGTCTTGTTTTTCCCGGAAATTGAGTTGGGATTTGTTCTTGGTCGCTAAAAACGAAAAAAAGATCGTACCATGTTACTAAAAAATGCAAATTATTATAAGCAAACAAACAAGTAATTCAAACTTTCAAGTTTCAAGAATCAAGAATCATCACCTGCTGATAAAAGGCATAAACATTAGCTCTATCCCTCTTGATGGCACCATCTTGTTTCATACGTTCTTTAGCTCTCACTTCTTCGGCTGTTCCATAACTATCACACCATCCACCCTATTCAATACAAGCGAAAAAAGATTCCCTTCATTGCCAAAACGGTTTCTGATTCAAAAACGATTGTAAAAGACTACATTTTGATAAAGATTCTGTTATACCTCAGACTGGCTTCTCAAAGCAGCAGGATTTTCTGATGTAGTCCGAGCAGATTGAGCTCTGGCTCGAGCCTGAGCTCTAACAAGAGCCTGCATGCACCTAAGGGTCACATCGGCTTGCTTTCTAACTAGTCGACCTCTAACGATGGCCTGGAGCCTCACTAACGCTTTCAGTGCCCTTAACGCTTGTCTTGCCTTCAATATGCATATCAATAGAAATAAGATTAATATGATTCACAAACTGTTATTCAGATTGCATTTTTTGATGCTTTATGATTGTACTGTTGTACATTCATCCTCAAATGTCACAGAATCTCATCAATGTTATCAATACCATAAATATGGCATCCCCTTCAACCATTAAATATTTTTTTATGGTTGAGCCATAACTCCTCAAATTACTATACTGATGTTTTTATGTTAAGATACTTCATCATCAAATCCTTCGAATTTGAAATCTAATGAAACTCACAAAGAAAAGCTATGCCTTATAATAGCTTTGGCATTTCCACAAACATCAATGGTGATGATTCGTAGTTTTGGTGTTCATGCTCAGAACAAAGTCTAAAGTTTTATCTCAAAAAAGCTAGATAGAGACAAATTTATATTCTTTCCCAGTAACATAAACAGTTAGAAATTGAGATAAACAAGGTGAAAGCAAGAAATTGATTAGAAAATACCAAAAAAGAGCGAAAAACAGATTGAATTCGAATGGCAGCCCATTCTTGCCTAACAGCCATGAAATCTTTAGGCTGTGCCCGAACCACAGTCGCAACAGCAGCAGAGAACGAAACATCTTCAGCACGAGAAGCATCAGAAGTAGACAATCGTCCTCCTCCTTTCATTCCCTTTGAAGATGATGACACTGAAGAACACCCAGCTGACGGACTCCTCCATAGCTTCCATGTCCTTATCTTGTTACCCCCAACTTTCTCCTACCAAAAAAACACCCAATTGAGCCAACCCTCCAAACAAATCAACAAATGGATAAATTTAAGAAAAGATTGAACAAACTTACTTGATCTGTGCTGTTGGAATTGGCCTTTTGAAAGCCAATTAATGATTTAATCCATTTTGCAGAGGCACCCATCAAGAAAGCCTAAACCTGGTACCTGCGTTTTTCAGTTTTCGGATCTTTAAGTTAAAACTTGGGGAATTAAAATAGGATTTGCACTAGGGTTAAAACTATAGTGACGAATGTAGAACCTCTGGCGACCACGGAACACATTTAATCCCCAATGGCTGCATTTTGGCTGTGTGATTGTCTAAAAGATTTGCTAAATTCAATACTCCTTTTTCATATTAATCAAACCCTATGAAGATGCATTATGCTTGATAAGACCAATTCAGAAATATAATCATATAGTGACGATAACAAAATGTTATCAATTCCCTCTTTAATGGTCAATTTTTTATGACATCCAGTAAATTCAGGCAAGTTTTTGGCATTAATCAAATCAAGCAAGCAAACAGCTAAGCCTCACTTCACAATAATTATGTACCACACTAGTTGTTTCTTCATAAATATATCAGTTTTGAAGATGTTCTTTCAACTTAATGAAGACAGTAAACTCAACCTGGAAAAGAAAAGACTCAAATCATTTAATCAATTCTCCTTACTAGCATTAGCAAGTGGAACAAGCAGTCAAGCAACACTTTTTTCCCTAAACGCCAATAAAAATCTATTTTCAACAAACCCCTAACAATCAATTTATCAAACACTTGATAGGCATCAAGACAATATTCTTAAGGAAACACTTTGTTAAGAATTCTCAAGTTCCCATTTTCCTTAAATTTTCATGGGATTGCAGGTAAGATTCATCCATATCTACATGACTCAAAACACCTAAACAAACAAATACTTTTTAGAATTTAGGAATCACCTCAAGAATCAGAAGGCTTTCAAGGCTCGAGCTTTAAGGGTCGCCGGTTGATGACGGTTGGCCGGCTGGTGAAAAGGGTCGCCGGAGGTGCGAGCAGGAATTGTTTTTGAGTGGAGAACTTCCCCCCTCCTTTCGTATATAGGTCCGCCGATGAAGTTTGAAGGAAGGGGGAGAGTCGTTTGAATTTTGAAAGAAAAGGTGAAATCAAAAGTAGAAAAGAAAGTAACGGATACTTATTTTGATGTTATAAATAATATGTAATGAATGCTTTTCCATGTTTTATGGGCTTAAAAGAAGGTGACATCACTGATAAGTGATAAATATGCATGAATTCTGGGCTCGGAAAACAAGAAATACTAATGGGCCAAATTTTAATGGGCTTAAAAAGAAATATTTTTTCGGCCCAAATTGTTAAAATAATTAAATAAGGGGTAAAATGCGCGAAATATCAAACTATTTTTACAAATTTCTTTATCATAGCATTCTACCTTCAGTTTTTCTTATTACAGTAATGTATTTCCAAAATATTTTTTATTAGGGCATTGTACTTTCAAAAATTTACCTGTTATAGCATTGAGTAACTTTTTAAATTAACTTTATACATTATAGCAGGTTTCTTTATCACCTCATCGTCCACAACCACATGTATGATAGTGCTGACATGACATTTATTATTATAACATTGTAATTTCAAAATTATTTTATTATAACATCACCAATTTTTATTATAACATTGTACTTTTAATTTTAATATTTTTATTATTTAAATATTGTAAATTTAATCAAATATGTTTACTAAATTTTTTAATATTAAGTTGTATTGGTGATACTTGTATGTATTTGCTATTTTGATTTGTTTGCAGAGTTTTAAGAGAGAGTGTTTTTTTACTTAAAAAATATATTATTTATTTTAACAAAAAACTTACACAATGGTAAAAAAAATTAAATTACACATATTGTTTAATATATTATTGCATATATGTTAATGCTAAAAAAAGTTATCGATTTTGATGTCTTTTGTCTTCTATAATATGTCAAAAAAACGACATTATAATCTCAAATAATATTTATTATAATTTTTAGTAAACATATTTGATTAAATTTACAATATTTAAATGATAAAAATATTAAAACATTTATTATGTTATGGTATCCGGTTAATGCTTTAATAAATAATATTTGGTTGAATATCACATCACTCGTCACATCACCAAAGTAACCGTTTAATGTTTCAACCGGTTAGATGAGTACTTAAATGTTAAAAACCTTACATCTTAAATACCTAAAATAAGAATCAAGTTAAAGTACGTTATTTTTTCATGTAATTTATTATTTAATTAAAAAATATTCATTTATTCAGCTGTGACAATGTTGGAAATTGAGAGGCAATTTCTTAGCTCTAAACCAACTCCAACTTTAAAATAAATTCGGAACTAATAATTAAACAAAGTATAGAATGGACCAGGGTTTAGTCTTTGAAGGATTTGGTCATGGTCTTTAACTTAACTACAGAAGAAATGACTCAACTGATAGAGAAAGAGATAAAAGAAGAAGTTACGATCACGTGAGGCCAGTATATTTTCGTGAGATTCGTAAGATCATTTTTTTACATTTGAAACTTCATAGTAAAACGATGTGAAAGTAACCTTCACAGTGTTTTTGTTGTGAATGTTCGACTTTTTTTTACCTTCACAGCGTTTTGCTGTAAAGTTTCAAATGTAAAAAAGTGGTCTTACGGGTCTAACAAAAAACAGGCTAGTCTCACGTAAACCCAACTCTCTCTCTCTCTCTCTCTCTCTCTCTCTATATATATATATATATGTGTGTGTGTGTGTGTGTGTGTGATTTATGCATCTACATATATAGAGTTGGGTTCACGTGAGACCAACCTATTTTTCGTGAGACCCGTGAGACCACAAAATTACACTGAAACTTAAGAAAGCATTGTGAAGGTACAAAAATACATCGAATATTCACAACAAAAACATTGTGAAGATTTACCTTCATAGTGTTTTGTTGTGAAGATTTAGTGTTTTTTCTTTGGTCTCGTGGGTCACACGAAAATAGTGTGGTCTAATATAATCGCAAGTCTATCTATCTATGATATATATATATATATATATATATAGAGAGAGAGAGAGAGAGAGAGTTTGTTTCAAATACAACCTATTGCATTTGTACAACCAATGCAACCTAGTAAATTGAGATATTTATGGAAATGATGAGAGTTCATTTATTATGATTTGAATATTTATGGAAAATGAATATGGTTCATTAATTATGATCAATATTTTATATTAGAAAATAATCAAAACTTCTATGAAATCACATATTAATCAAATGAAATGGACGGTTGAGATTGGGTTGTATTGGTTGTACAAATGTCAAAAGTTGTATAATAACTAGCCTCTATATATATATATATATATATATATATATATATATAAAATAAAAAAGACAAAGAAAATGTTGAGATTGTATGAATAGATTATTTATAAGAATTATTGATAAAAGAAAAGACGAGTTCATATATTCATATTCATACGTTACTACTTAGTAAAAAATAGGTGACTCAACGTATGTTCACATGTACATCTCTAAATGAATTTTTTTTCCACGTTTATCAATGATTCACATACAAGTTATTTATTTTTATGTTTCTAATCTTCTTGTCTTTTTTTTTAACATTCCTATAGAGGTGGATTATTATACAACCTCTTACATTTGTACAACCAATACAACTCAATCTCAATCGTACATATAATTTGATGAATATGTAATTTCATATAAGTTTTGATTGTTTTTTAATATAAAATATTGATCATAATTAATTAACTGTATTTTTCATAAATATTTAAATCATAATAAATAAACTCTCATCATTTACATAAATATTTTCAATTTATTGAATTGTATTGGTTGTATAAATATAATGAGTTGCATTTGAAACAAACTATATATATATATATATATATATATATACAATCAATGTGTTATTTTGCATTAATTTGATGAATTTAACCACTAAACATATTTATATGTATACATAAGAAAGCTGTCTCTTCAAAAACATAAAATAAATATAAATTAAAACAAAATATAAAAACTTTTATCTCCAAAATAAAATAAAAAAAGAATTGACGAAAATGGAAAGGTAAGCGCGCTTCTACGGTCGACACCTGATCACACGCTTTCAACAAGCGTTTACATTCAAAATATTTACCTTTATCACCCCTATACTTTATGTTAATTACATCCAAGCACCACCAGTCTTCCCCAAAGAATTCAATAATTGCATAGAGGTCCTCTAACTCTATTGGCAACCAAAAACACCGTATCTATTGTCAGTTATGTAATGATTAAGAACGAATGGTTTATAGGGTTTGAGTCTTAGGCGTTGTGTTCGTTATTTCGGCCCATGTTGGCAAGTCTAGGTGAAAGGTGGACACGAGGACTTGGCCGTGGTGAAGGGATTGGACCGTTGCTGGAAAACAATGAACTGTTAGCCATCATGATCTTTCTAGGTGATAGATTCACTTGTTCAAGTGCCTGACATTGTAGTTTCATTGGGTACTCTCTTACACACCCGATCCTGGGACCTGTCCCGGATGTCCATCTTGGTGATTTCACTTTTCCCATATCATGTATCCCTATTTTTTCACGACGAGCTTTAATGGTATCCTTTGGCAATCTCTCTGTTTGGAAAGGTTGAACATGTACAGATGGTTTTCCTCTTATTAAATTGGACTTGGAGTTCTCATCCCGAGTAGCATTGAGAAATGGATCATCATCGTCTAATGGGCATTTCTGCACAATATAATTAACTAAATTGATTTCTACGGAACATATAATGATATAAGCTGGTAAATTGTACAGTAAAATAATAATGAAATATTATTGCGATGATTTTACCTTAACATTCGTCAAGTCAACTTGGTGCTCTTCAAGAAAACCAATGAACTCTTTGAAGTTTTCTTCTGTAGGGTGATAATGACCACTGTACGGCCATATAGCCTGTCCCAGATTAGACATATAAAAATGTGTTAACTGAGGTTTTATTCTTGCTACCATTTTACAGTAACAAGTGTATTTTCCCCTGCAATTTATGATGTACCTCAAGAACTCCATCATAAACAACCATTCGTCCCGCAGCCGTGGTGGCTGCACCAGCTAGAAAACTAGAATGTTGAAACTGGCCTTTTTTCTTCTGGCCAACATACAAGGCTCTTGATGTGCTAAGTACGAAGATCCATTTGGTTCCCTCAATAGTTTTTACAAATCTTCGGCTTTGTTTATACAACAATTTTCCACTTTCAATCACGACTTCATATTCTTCCCTTTCTTTCTACATTCACAAATCACGATGATAATTAATTTTCATAAAAAATATAAATGAAAAGAAAACTTGTTTTTTCTAACATAAAATCATACACGTTAATTTTTTATTTCTCTATAAAACAAACAAAATTCAGTGCAAGTGATGATTGAGTCATACAGGTCCAAGATATTTAATGCACTGATATTGCAGTATGTTTCTCGCGCATTTTTCGACACTTAATTCTTTACCGTCTCCCACATCCAACCTGAAATACCACAAAATAACATATATAAAAATCCATTGCTTGGCGTCTTGTTGTGGAAGGGTCTTAATCGTACTACATTTTTTTCGTTGTGAAATAGTCTTGGTGATACGACAATCATTTAAAACTAATAACAAATTAATGTTGACTAGATATATATATATATATATATATATATATATATGTATGTGTGTGTGTGTGTGTTAAAGCTTACCAGTAAAAGAATGGTTGCGAGCTTTGACTTGTAAACCAAACATTGTAGTACAACTGTAGATTGTGTCCATAACGATGGCGTGGATCAATCTACATAGAACAATATTCAACAACGTTAGATTTTCGTACAAGTAAACTGCATGCACGCTTACATATTTTATGTTCATAAAGTTTTATCTATGAACTTCGATGGTTTTACTTACCGCTTCGAGCCAATGACAAATGGCTAGTTTTTGTGCGTTTTTGTCTTGGCATAGGCCTTTCCCGACCTAAAATGAAAACAGTGGTGCAAATTTAGGACTAAATTTGGTATAAAATAAAGAAAAGGGTAGTAAAATGTAAATATTAAGTAGTTGATCCTCTTAGAGTCCAAAGGTCAACATTCAAATACATCAACTTCCATAGCTTTGAAGGTATATGTAGTCATGGTCATGGAATACAAGAACTTGTCAAGATTTGATGCTTTTTAATTAAGCCAATCTTAATTAGCAAAAGTGATTAAAAAACGTTAATTCTATTAATAGATAACAGAAATGAGACTTGACTGGAAATACTGAAAGTTTGACCAAGTCTTTGATCAAAAATACGACTTAGAATTATGGGAATCAAACCTTTGCAACCCTGGTACGCGCTCGACACCATCGTGAAACCGCGCTCTCGGGCTTATCGTTGCAGAAAAACGACACCGAACTCCGTTTCAAAGCCGCGAAATCTAAAGCTTTCCACCTAGACAAATGCATAATGCTCAAATAGATCACGAACCCGTGTTTTTATACCGAAAAAAGACAACTTTTAATTCATCATGGTCATGAAATTGAACGATAATCGTAGTAAGTAATCAACGACGAACCATAGTTCTTCAATAACGACCGCGCAATCAGCAAGATTTCTTCGAGTTCGATAACTCTTGTAGAACTTCTGAATCGTAAGAGCTGCAGCGTCGAGCTCGCTTATGATAACTGGCGCCCTTTGATCGTCATGATCACCAACAACAAACCCTAATTGGCAGCCATTAATGCCACCGGTACTTCTCGATAACCTTTCTTGATCAACATCAAGATCAACAAGATTCTTGAAAGAAAAGCTTGTCTCCAATGGCGGCATCATCTCGATCTTTTCTGGTTCTTCAGTAGAACCAAAGTTGAGGAAACGAAACAGAAACAGCTGAAACAGTCTGGATTCATGAACCCTTTTCATGATCGAGAAAAGAGACAAAAGGATTACTCCCATGGGGGATTAAAAAGACGAATTTTTGGTCGCTGTTTTCAAGGTCGAAGGAGATGACCAACACTGGAGGTGGGTTTGATTGGTGGGTTGGAAGGGGAGTATTTATAGGTGTGAGAATGAAGATGAACATGTGGAAAGGGATGCAACCGTCAAAGACGCAGAAAAAGTACAGTGTGATGTTGGAAAAAGTGAGAGCTAATTACGTGTTGTTCCCATGAGATTGGGTTCATGGTTCTTGGCTCATTTGTCAAACCAATGGTATAAACCCTAATTGGTATTTTTCGGTTCGGTTATCTGCTAAACTCGTTAAATCGGTTTAATTTGGTCAACTTTTTCGTTTAGGAATTATCATTTGCTTCATCATTTTGATTCTTAAAAAGATGTTTGTGATTGTTTATTTAAAAGAACTTATGTTTATTTGTAAAAGTGTTTATCAACTTATGTGGTGTTAAATCGAAGCTTTTTAAAAGATGTTTGTATTAACTTATCGTGGTACTAAAACGTAATAAGTTGATAAGCATTTTTTTTTCATCTAAACACTAAAAACATCTTATTACCGTTACCAACCGTATAAGTTAATAGGAGGGAGTAACTTATCAAAAACTCTTTATCTAAACCGGTTGTTTGACCAAAATTGTACTGTTGTGTGGTATTTATTTAGATTATATCATAACTAGAGTGTATGTACTCGCGCAATACAACGTGATACATCTCGATTTTTATTATATAAAATAGTTTCTGTGGTATTGAGAAAATGAAAATGTTTTTGGTTGTTTAATTATCAATTTTATGGAGTATTTTTAATGTCGAAAGTTCTCGTTTTCTGTATAATATGTTTACTTCCAGTTTTTTATTATAATTTAATTTATTTAGATTTAATGATAAATATGTAATTTAATTAAGTTTTAATAACATAATGTTTTTTATAAAGAAAATGATGAAGTATTATAAGTTTAATTATTATTTTTATTATATTTTAGATATTTTATATTTAAAATAAAATGGTTATCATATATTTGATTATGTTTATCAAATAGTTTTATTAATTTAAACATACAACTTTAAAAAGTTGTACGCATGCACCATTTACTTGTAATATTGAATTCTAATTAATATTCATTGATAAAAAGTATTTAATGCATAAAAAATAGTTTTTACAACGTTAAATCAAATATTTTATAATATAATAAAGATTACTATCACATGTTTTGTTTCTTTGTAAAGGGTTTGACGTCGTTATCTAGAGTTCCCCCATCGTTATTCAATTAACGTACATGCATACTTTTTACGTCAACGAGAAGTTAACGCAAAATGGTTTGAAACTGGTGATCCCCATTTGTCCCATACTGCCCATCATAGTAGTATTATGTGAGAGATAAATCAGATATATAATATTCCGCTAAGTTGTTCGACTACTTCTACCCTATTTGGCTATTCCCTCCATGTCCTTCCAGTAAGACGTCGACACGTCAATTTTTTCTCTCTACGACTACTATTTAATTTACATATCCACCTTACAGTCTCATGGGTATATTAATCACTTCTCCCAGAAACATCTTATTCATGTCCACCAATCACATGAATACACATAATCAGAGAGAATGTGAACATGAATAAAATAAATAAAAATCTAATACGTTTTAATTTCATCAGTGGGATAGAAATAGAACGCGAGATTCTGAAACATGTAAATTTACACCGTCCTGTTAAGTACTAGCCTCTAGGGGCGAATACAGTCTGTAAATGGTCAGGAAAAGCTCGGTTAAACCACAAATTGCAAAAAAAAAATATATATAAAATTTTACTCTTAAATTTTCTGTATTTATTTCAGAACCCCATCTTTTTGTTCTTGTGCTCCTGAACGCCCCCATTTGTTAGAGTCTCTGACGATCAATAAACTCATATAAAAGTAAAATAAATAAACTAATAGTATAATGCATGCGCCTATTCGATTTAACCAAACTAGTAAAAGATAACCGAAAAAAAACGAACCGTTTAACCTGAAAACCGAATAACCAAAAATCCAAGACCGTCCATTAGTCTGTTAAATATGAGTTTTTGAATAGGACC